AATGCTTGCATACTTGCACAACAATCTTTTTGCACAACAAATTTTTCCATCCACTCTTAACAGCCTGAAAATCCACTTCTAACAGCACCCCCTCCATTCTTCCAGTATAGGCCAAAAGGGTGATTACTTACAAAGCCATGCTTGTGGAACATTACTATATATGAACCTTACAAGTGTTTGGTAAAAAAAATTAGGGGACCCTTAAGGTTCGAGTAGAACACGACAGTGATATTCTATCCCTAGTGCATACTCCAACCACCCAGTGCATACTCTTTACAGGATAACATTACTTCAAAAGTTTATACTGCAGATTATTACTACGTAATCAATGTTTAAAGTGGCTTGTGCCAGTAAGGGTTTCGCATATAGCTGCAGTCTGTGTAATGGATTTCTAAATGGTGGCTAAGCGAGCTTGTTGATACGTACACATAGTTACTTCGAAGAGCGTAGAGATCGGACACAGGATAGACCACACAATACAGGCACTGGGTAGTATGCATTAAACCACGAGCAACTAGGCGCATGAAATGTTTTTAAACTTGTTATGCACCCACTACGTGGTCCTAAGAGAATACTGCAGTAGTATTTGTGCCTTTTGTTATTCATGGCTGGCTTTAAACAACGAAGTCATTATGATAATTACACGTTCTTATGGCCAGTGGCAATGCACATTTGTACCATGAAATGCTACGATATTACATGTTGTATTGTGAAGCGTGTATACAAGACGCGTGTATTTGTAAAGCATGAAAATTATTTATGAGCAGGCACGTGTCTTTGTGGTAGAACGCCTGCTTGCCACACAAGCAGCTTGGCTTCTATTCTCACTCAGACCTAGAAGGTTTTATTTGTTATTCTTTTTATTTCCATGTTTTTATATCATGGACCAGATGTAAAGTGAACATGGAGAATTTCATGCACCAAAAAAATGACAACACTGCAGCTGTACAGGTGGAATCACACTTGTCCAGAGTAGTGGAGCTAAAAGCTCTTGTTAGCGACGGCTTCTATGTCACCTTAGCTACATGCTTCTGTTCACGCTTAAATTATCACACAAAGGCCTAGCACGTCGTATGCCATGTTAGATATTCATACGGCATCGGCATTAACATATTTCTGCAGAAAACGGCAACTAGAGTGGTCGGCTGGGTGTTTTAGACAAGTGTGATTCGATCTGTAGAAATATTCAGTAATTTAACACTCCAAATTTAATTTTGTTGTGTTCGATTCAACAGTCATGATTTGCAAAACTGTATATGTTTTAACAATTTACTAATGTTTTAAAATGTCAAGTACACCAAAATAAAAAGAAAACTTGTGCAACAGTATGATACACAGCATCCGCCCTGGCACATTATAAGAAAAGACTTGAGAAGTTGTGTAGCGCAGCTGGGTACTTAGCTCTCAGAATGTGCTTGTACCAATGAATACTTACCCTTTCTTAACAGTTCTGTGGATTTCGAGGGCCTGATTATTTCCTACAGCCAACCAATTTTTTAATGTACATTTCTTTTATGTTACTGGAAAGCTCGTAATTCAGAGTGTCTAATCATGCATTGGCAACACAAAAAAGGCAATGAAACAGTTTTCACCAAACGTTGTTGCTGATGGAGTCTTATATGCAACACATGTTGCAAACAGTGGCGTACAGCTGTTCACTGCATTGGTACCAAATTCCGCAATGACAGAGTGCATGAGTGAAATGCTGGAGAGATGGTGCGTTGATGCACTGTGGTTCAATGCAGGTTTTTTGTTGCTGTTGAGGAAGCTCCACTGCTGAGCACCAATTTCTTAACCTTTTGAGGGTTAATAGGATGAATGCATCCCACTTTTTCCTCAGTAAAACTTTCTCTGCCACTTTACGTTGCCATCAGCATAATGCCTTCCTGCTGTGGTGTACCAGAAACATTAAGGAAACTGAGAAACTATATATTGCACGTTTACAATGCATGGCATCAGTGATACATTGAGCTTAAAATCATTTATTTTGTTGATATTTTTTCAGCCAGTGTCATATTGCATACCAGGTAGCTAAAGTTCCAAATTTATGGTATTCTTTTGTTCAGATTTTTTAGAGAATTTTAGCATGCAACTATATATTTTCTTTCTAAATTACAAAATTATATCTGCCTAAAATCATTGTGGAAGTGCACTCGAATGAAAAATGAAGCAGTTCCTTGCATAGCCTAACAGCATAGCATACATGCATAACTGTTTTTTCATGTTTGATGGACGTCACAAAACAGCACATTCTTTTATACTTTTTACCATTATGAGGAGAGGCAATGAGACCAAAAGCTGTGGCTAAGACACTGTTGCTAAAATTTCGGGCCGAAGGAAAAATATGGCAAGATTTCTGCTTCATACAGCCAGGAAGCCAAAGAGAACACGAATATTCAAGATCATCAAATCATGCAAGATATATGAGAAAAGCAAATATCTCACACTTGAATAGAATTCACAAATATGATGCAGCATTTGTAAATGCACCTACAGCATTCGGTGCATTGACACCACGTCGAAGTGGCTCGCCATGATTCATTACCACAATTTTAATTATGTGCGAAAATGCAGGCTTAACTGAGATGTTCGCCTTTATCTGTTGCAGATACAAGACAAGACATGCATAGACACAGCTTCGTTGAATGTGAATGAAAAGCAATATTCTCCTTTTTCTTTATTTTCATATAAATACGTGCACTCTTCTATGCCTGCTGTTTTCTCCTTGTCTTCATCGAGTTTCAATATTATCTACACCTACCGACAAGACAGACACAAGCTGAAAGGGTTTGTGTATGTGAAGACCTTGGGACAGAGCAGCTAGACTCAATGCCACAGGCCGGGGTGCAGAATTGTGTAGAACATCTGAAATTAAGGTTCACTGCAATTTTTTTCCCACAGATTTAGAAGTGTTCCTCTGTACTGCTTCTATTGGGCCTTTTTAGGCAAGAAATTCGGCAGCAGAATTACAGCTTAGTGCCCTTATGAGACAATGTGACAGGTGTTGCTCCACTAGCTTATTCAAAGATGCTTCATGGGTCGATGAGCCACATGCGTCCCACTTTTTTCTCATAAATTGATGGCCATATTTTAGTGAAGATTGTGTCACACTATTTTTAGGCATGAAATTCTGCAAATTTCTGTAATTATGTGAAAAATATCGATGAACCCACGAAGGGTAAGTTAAACTGCATAATAAGCAAAATTAATAGTGAGAACGCAATATATATACGACATAATTTTAAGCCAGATTAACAATTGTCTGAGTTGCAGCAGGCAACGTGCAGAAATTCTTCAGAACTCGATACTAAGCTTTTGCCACGAAGCGGTGCAATGGCACAGCTGCTGTGATTTTCAAACACCATTTCAAAATACATATACAACTCAAATTACTCAAGGAAAAGGGAGCTTGATTTTATCATACTTCTGCATGTTTCCAAATAAAGAAAGATCTATTTACACTTTCTGGCCAGTTAATTGCTGTACCCCTAAACAGACATAAAAGTGATAGTCATGACATTTGGTAGTCTAACAATTGGACCTAGGGATTTCAACATCACACCAATGTGATTTGGCATAAGCTGTAAAACCTTATTCAATCAGTCATACATTGTTACCCTTTTATGCCAGTTTTAAAGCGATAGTTTTAAAAATCTCGTCAGCGTCGTTCATTGTGAGTGATGAACGTTGTGAGTAACCGGAAAACCAAGAAAGATGCAAATAAAATAAGTAATAAAAAATTTCCCAGTTTGCGGGAGGATCGAGCCCAGGCCGTTTGCATGGAAAGCAGGCGTTCTACCGCACAGCCACACATCTGCTTGGAAATTCAGGAGAAATAACTTCATCTGCTTGAAAATGCAGTGAAAATAACGTTAGGCTTTGCAAACACATGTGTCCTGTATACTGTCTTCACAATTCAATATGTAATATCACAGTAATATTTCTTGATACAAGTGTACACTGTAATCAGGCATCAGAACATGTGATTATCTTAAGGGCTTCATAGTTAAAAGGTGCCCAACCATAACAAAGTGCACACATTTCCTTCAGACCACATAGTGCACACCAAGTTGGAAAAGATTTCATGCACCAAGTGCTTGAAGTAGGTACTAGGGCCAGGGTATCGTTATCGTGTTCAATTCTTGAAAGCGATCGAACCTCAAGGGTCCCCCAATTTTTTTTTTTTTTTTAAGCGAGGGAAACAAAGCATTATTCTAACCATGAATATTTTTATGCCAGCGATTTGACTAGTAGGTTAGCTCATTGAGCCATTTTTGGATTTATATGAGGTTTATTTGACTCAAAGAAAGCAATGCTATTTTGAAATGGCACTATATGCCAAAGACCTGACATGGTGTCTATTGTTGGACGTTAATCTCCTGGTATCCTCGGCCCTCCCTCTTTCCCTCGTTGAAGGGCCTGTTTTTTGTTTGAGAAAAGGCGGCAACCCTGGCGACAGCAAAGTGTAAAAACAGTATAGAAATTTTGAAGCAGGTTGTGTAGACAACAATCTACAGACAGTGAGTGGCATACAGAATTGACTTGGCTGTCTTCAATGTTGGGGGGGGGGGGGGGGGGCATAAAAAAAAAGCTGCTATAAGGCCAAAATGAATGCCTCAATTGCAGTGGCAACTATGCAAAGCGGCAGCTGGAAAGTCTACCTAAATGTTCCAAACATGAGCATCTTGAATTCGCTGTAGTTTTATCTCGAACGAATTAGGACTTGAAAAAAAAAAGAAAACCTAGCCCTCATATATTTGAAACAGGCACATATTGCAAGAAGGCTGGTGATAAAGCAGCAACAAGTTTAGCCATGCCTTCATTGTTGTCAATTGTGAGCACACAATACATACAACAGCGATACTTTTGGGAAGCACGCCTCTATATGACCGAGGTTAGGGGCACAGGCTTTCACCCAGGTGCCGGGGAAGGAGACACCTTTGAGAGGCTTCTTGACGACAGAAACACACAATTTATTTATATATTTACAGGTGCAAAAAACACAAGGCGTCAAGATGCGCTTTTACAGGAGACAGGACTGGCCGTAACGAAGGCCACAGAGAGAGCACTGAGCGCACACGCGGCGCGCTTCTCATATCCTCGGTCCGTGCATTCGCCTCTCCTCAAACGCGAACTATTTGTCCCAGAAATGCTGATGCGTGTTCCCTGCAGCACACCCAGACACCTTTTGCGTTTCTGCTGGGCGCGTACCACATTTGGCAGGTACGCCAATGAGCGTTTATTGCAGACTGGGTCCTTGCACTGCCAGTCATAACATTTGAATGGATACTGGCAAGCTAACCGGCACCTTCGAGCCTGTGCAGCCTTAGAAAACGGGCCCCATCTGCAATGAATTACTTTTTAGCGGCAGAAGGAAAGAAAACAAGAATACTTCTTGGGTTGTTTTTTTTTTTCTTACCGGAGGCAATATTCGAACCAGCGAATGTACAATTGAAAGCTGAGCATAATGACTCTTCAGCTATTTACGCACGGTGACAGAAAAAATCATAGCCTTAAATAGTATAGGGGGTGGGAAAGGCAAGGGAGGATGCAAAGGAGAGAGTGAAAAAGAAGATGGGAGAACCATTAGAAAGAGGAGAAAGGGACAAAGAGAAGGGGAGAAACCAATTGCGTAGAGAGAGCAAAAAAGACAAATATATTGACTAAAAAAAAGCAGGCTTGTGCAAATATTCGAATGCTTCGAATATTTGAAGGAACAGTACTGTATTCAAACTCGCTTCGACACGATTTTAAGTTATTGAAAATTTTGAAGTATTTGCAATGAACAAATAGTTAACATTGATCTGCACATAACCTCCTGTAAAGGTAATTTCACTGAAGCATAGAGTGCTATGCCGTGAAGGCACTTATCCAAGGGAATTCGCACTGCGGCAAAACCTCTTCAAAGTTTAAGGGGCACTGCAACTCTTATTGAATATGGTCGGAAAACGCGGCCAATCGGTAGTCAAGACTCCCGAGAACACGTGAGCCAAGTATTGTTGCGCAGCACGAGGCCAGAATTTTTCAATAAATGTTCAAATTCATCTGAAAATTGCTTTCCTTTCACTCGACAAATTGCGCTACAAGCTCAAAAATTACCCATCACAGCCATTATATCAGCGATTGGCTGATTCGAGCATGGCACGATGGACGTTACTGGGGCCAGGCTCACTTGGACTATAATCGAGTCGTGAGTTTGAGTGAGTACAGCTGAGTAATATTACATGAGTTTGAGTTAGAGTGAGTCTGGCTAAGGAAAATTTTAATGAGCTTGAATCTGAGTGAGTAAAATATTTGCGAGTCTGAGGTGGTGAGCCCTAAGCTCAACGTGTATTTCTTGGGTAAGCCTTAGTGAGCACCACCTTTTATTTCTAACCTATGTTCCTATATAGCCGCCTATCAGCATAACTATCGACGTAATATTTGCTTACATTGGTAATAATCAAGTCTGTTCAAGCATACGTCAACACACAACCGTTCATGCGGGTATTGAACAGAGGCGCAAGTTATGAGATAAGGGGGTCGCCAAGACCTCTCTTCACAAACTCGCTCACAGGACATTCATCGCAAAAATTTCTGATGTGAGCTGCATATTTCATAAAAATATCCTTATTGGGTTGCGACTAGTGACAGCTGTTTGCTCACTCAGACACAGGTCAAATCTCGAGTCTGAGCGTGCCGAACTGAGTAATATGTTGGTAAATTTGAGCCTGAGTGAGAGTGGTTGACAAACAGTTTAGCAAGTCCCAATTAGTTCTGTAGAGCTAAATTTCAGTGAATTTGAGTCCGAGTGAGTTTCCATGATGAAACGTATTTCTTGAGTGAGTTTAAGTTCCACTTTTTCTACCGGCCTATGGCTGCTGCTCTCAAACATCAACACTACATCCTTGGGCAGCATTGAAGCAGCTGCAGCCATTCAGCCATCATGCCTGCGATGCAGGAACGTATTACTGAGGCAGGGTCTCGTTTCAGGAAAAGATGCGCCAGTTTTTCACACACAAATGTCAGACATTTAAAACGAAAGTAATTTTAAATAAAAGCAAAACAACCACACTGAAACTGCACCTATTACCAAACTACTAAGACAAGCAAAGCTTTGTAATTAATTGAAGTTCTGCTGAACATTTGAAACAAAAACAGTCACTAGTAGCTCCAATGCTAATGTCATCCATAGTGGCAGACTCACTCTTTGCAGGTGTATTTGTTGGCTGAAGCAGATGAGAAGCCCAATTCACCCATAAGTCATGGATAGAAGCGCTTCAGTCATAGTGTGAAAACAATCTCCAAATGTGAGCAGAGAGATCAGAACATCTGATAGATAGAGCTGCAAGAAACAGGATGTCCCTTGCAGCTTCTGTTTCTTCTTTCTTTGTATAGTTGTAGTGCTGTTTATAACAAGTTCACGATGTATTAACAAGCCTGCATCAACACTTTATATCAGACAGATCTACCCATGCATGCTCCATGGTGGCTGGTCACTGCACCATTGTGGCTGGTGACCAGAAGCAGGAACCCGCTCGCCAACCTAGACGGCTGAGTCAGCCTCCCAAACGCGTGTCAGGACCAAGACATGATGGCTGGCAGCAGGTCCTTGTTATGGTCTCGTGAATGGTAACCAACATAAGCACTGCACTGATGTTACATGCACATCACAATGTCTAAGTATATGCGCTGACTTAAATTCAGGTGATGTGTAAAAACCACTGGCCGCTAACAGCAGCAAAAATATGGTTGTTACTAATATGAACCACGACTATATGCCTGTTGGTACGCGGGCATAACTGCCTGTACCATGATATGAAGCAGCTTTGTGCAACTTCACATCATGGAATGTTTCTCTATCCGCCACCCGAGAACGCGCTCTGTAGCGGTCAAGCTCCGCCCAGAGACTTAGACAGTATGAAACTAATACAGGCCATGCTGAACTGCTGCCTCAAACTGCAGCCAGCCTAATGGAATCAAACTTTGCCATAGCAAACATTTAGACTTTTACTAGAAATGATGCTGTTTTCTAGGGAATGTTCAGATTATGAACTATTCGTTAATGCCTTAAGAACATCTTACATTGTAATACAATCGCATAAAATTTATTTACAGTTGGAAAAGTAAATTTTCACCAGCTGCTTGCATTAGCTTTCATTTTGCCGAAGTATGTGTTTCTACATAGCACAGCTTAGAAAACGAAGTCAGGCATTCAATCACAAAGGAACAAATTTTCTTCATCTGAAAGGGATGCTAAAGGCAAAAAATTTCTCCCGTTCGAATGATGAGTGAAAGTTTAAGAATGCCTAAATGTCAGTATTATCTACAGGGCTTAGTTCACCAATAAAGAAATAAATGTATGATAAGGCTCGAGGCACCCATGCAATATTCTGCGAACTCTGTAACTTTATAAAATGACTTAGTCGAGTCCCAGAAAAAATCTTTTCTACTGTGGACTGAAACTGTCCACAGTAGAAAAGATGTTTTCAGCGCATTAAAATCTGGTATGAAATGCTTATTTTTTTATATGTAAGGTTTAAGGTCTCAAAACCAGCATATGATTATGAGAGACGGTGTAGTGGAGGGCTCCGAAAATTTCTACCACCTGGGGTTCTTTAACGTGCGCCCAAATCTGGTATGAAATGCTGCTTGGTTCAAGAGCCGCCAACAAGACTCATGGCTAGCTTCAATCATCCCCCCAAAAAGGGGGGGGGGGGGGGTATTGAAAGTTCCTTCAAATTACCTACCTGTGCCACAGAAGCTTCTCCGAAGCTACTGACTGGTGTCTGCTCAAAATAGTTAAACTTTCCTTCTACCACGCTTGCTACTACTGTATTTCACGCCATCTAAGGGACAAAATGTCAAAAAGACCTACTTGGAAAGTTGTTTAAATACCAGTTGTAGCGTGCTGACCATTTAATATATAACTTCTTTTTAAACAAGGCATTTTCTTAGCATGGAACAAACAGTGCACCACAAACAGTTCACCACAGTATGCCTTTAGGGCCCCTTTAAAAGGTTTGATACATTTGTATACTTACATATAAAGGTTGCAACATGCTGGATGCTCATGGTCCCTAAAATATACCACAAAAATAAAAACTTTCTGGGCTGCGTTATTTACACAGTTCATCTTATTGACCAATAGGCATCAAAATTTATTAACTTTTCCTCAAACCACTTAGTTTTTAAAAGCAAGGTGCATATATTATGATGGTTTGCATTATTTTCTGGCTAAATAATGCCTGCAGAAAGTTATCTCACTGAGTAACACGGACCAAAGAATGTCATTTTAAAATTCTTTGTGGGGCAGAAGAACTAAGAATGCTAATGATGATGACAGAGTATATTATTAACCTACTGTTGGAATCTATAGAAAGGTCTCAAATCAGCAGCTATAGAACTATAAGGTTTCAATTTAAGGCTGATTTTTTTAATGGTTTAAACATGAAATATTACTTTGGAACAAAAAAGCAACTTGATTTTGGTTTTACCCTGTCACTTGCATAGTAGCAATAGGGAAATGCACCATCTCATTGTCTGCAAGACATGATATTAAATGCCTGTGCATTAAGGTCTTATCAAAAGAAACGGTGCACGGGTCGACGCCAGATGCAATGGTGAAGGCATTAGCATTCGCAAAAACGCCACAGTCGTAAAAGTTCTCTTGACGCTGTACTGCCTTAGCGTGAATGGTAAGAGTGTTAGAAGCTAGAGTCATTATGTTCATAACTTGAGTTGCTACACTTGGCATAATGTCCTGGTCTCACGAATCATACAAAAAAACACTGTAAGGGCACCATAATTTGTCACTGTAACCCAATTCCCAGGAATATGCAGAATTTGAATAAAGTTGTCTCGCTTCTTAAATTTCAAGCTCTCCCCAAGAAGAACACCCTGATAATTGCACAGATCAGGAAACTGACACGAAATAATAAATTGGGGTGTATTTACGATTGCATCTGACAGCCATCCCGTGCCTCGTAAGGCCACTAAATCAGAGGAACTTATTTTGTATGGGTTGCAATTATTTGGACCACAAATCGCGTCAGCTATGGGGTCACTAATTTCTTCCACTGTTCTACCAACGACTGTCACAGATGCCTTCTCATTAAATTGAGAGTTTGTCAAAACATGCAAACTTAGTCTTTTTTCTCCCCGCTTCGTATTATGTGCACATCTGTTACGTGGTCGGCCGCGAGCGGATTTAACTAAAGTTATGCTAAGCGCTGTCAGTTGCTGTGCAAATTCACTAGGCGAAGAGCTAGTGTTTGATGTCTTTGCTAGAACCTGACATACCTTATCATCATGCGAGGCTATAGTAAAGTTAATTTCATCTTTTGAATCAGATTTAACTTGACCAGATTGCTCTTTCAGTTCCGATTTATCTTCTGTGGGGCCCTTCTTCGTAGTGTCATCATCTACAAACTTGGCCAATAGATAGTCGTTCAGGTCTACACTCCACGAATTACTTACTTCTTTTGACTTTTCTAAGCCTTTTCCTTCCCCACTAACTTGTTCATTACTTTGTGCTATTTTAGGAAGTGGTGAATCATGTTTCTTATTTATAGGGTAAGTAACAAGATTTTGGAAAAAATCCTCAGACTCGCTCAATATTTCGTACAGTTCAGTTGCACTACATTGGGCTAGTACATTAGCAGCTTCCTTTGAAAGTTCCAACAGACGTGCATATGCATATTTATATCTGGCCTCTGAGTTATGAAGTTTTGGCTGTACCTTTTTTACCATGCTTGTGGTTAAAATGCTCAGTTTTTCTGGTGACACTGTCTGGTCGGTCTGCACAAAATCAGATTTAAGCCAGCACTTTGACACACAACTTTCATCAAACAGTTCCATATTAATTTTTGATCTAGCTGCAAGAATGTGCCTGCAGGGCAGCTGGTACTGCACGTTAAATGTACATATGCATGTCTTCATATTATTAGTAACTTCATAAAGCTTACTGCCAACAAAAACGGTGAATTTGCCATCAGAGACAACACAGTCTCCTGGATATTTCATAAACAGCCCATATTCTTTACATACCAATTTTCTAGCATATTCGGTGCATTTTACTGACATCTCGATGCAAAACTTATTAGTCTTACTGGTGTCAATGCAAGTTCTCATTTCTTTATATTGCGTATGGCTGAGTGCGAGGGCATCATGGGTCACATACCTTATCAGAGCTTTCACTGCTTCCACTAAAAGCATGTCATGTGTTAGATATTTTTTTAACTTTTGATTATGGCTTTCCATTTGATTGTTAGCATTATTTCCTAAAGTACAAGCATTGGCACGATAAGCATGAACCCACATGATCTTGCAGCTGTGCCAATTTTTATAAAAGTACTCCAGGAGTGCTTTGTCATCTTCAAGTGCTTCTTTCAAGTCCTGCAAGTGCTCTTGATATATATCTACAGTATGTGCAAAAGCCAGTTTCGTAATTATACCTTTAACATACTTCTTATCTAGACTGTTTGACTTATGCTGCATCACTTTGGTGTGTAAGTACTTTAACACATGCCACGAACACAACAAGATTCTACATTTGGGCAGAAGCTGCTTAACTATATTCATTTAATTTAAATCTTTGTCCACTACCACAATTTTGCACTTCTCCTCTGCGATAGGATTCAAACAAAGGAATGTCTCTAGGAAAGACTTTAAAATTTCTGATATCTGCTGCTGAACAAATGCATAACATACAGTCCTCCCATGGCTTGTTCCATCTTCACACAGAATCGAATGCAAGATATACTCTTCTTTATTAACTTTATACAAACCATCAAAGAATAACACTCCAGGGTATTTTTCTAGTAACTGGGCCATATGCTCTGATTGAATCAATACGTAGAAGAGATCATTTCCTGTATTCTTTTCAATATGAACCTTCCATCCAGAGTTTTCAGAAAACAATTCGTTGATTTTTTCTAACAGAAGGGCTCCTTGATAAGCATTGTCCTGAATTTTTTTAACTGTTCTATGCTTCAAGTTTGTAATATCACGAGAAGTAACGTGTTTTCCCGTTTTCCTCAGAATGGCATTCTTTAGGTCTTTAGGTTTCACTATATAAGAAATCAACTCCTGAAGTTGCTCTTTTTCAGAATAAGCACTTAATGCACGATTATTATTGTACCATACCAAAATCTCGGGACCTATTTTATGGTTGTGCACATCCGCTAAATTTACAACTTCATAATAGGGCTGTAGAGAAACCTGCAGCGCAAGCTTAAGTTCAATGTTGCAACCTGTACCGTTGAAGCATTGATTAGGCCGAATATTTTGTCCCCTCGGATTTGGATACCCTGCGTGGCAACAGACAAACTTAACTCGAACATACGGAAAGTCTGCTTTGTTTAAATCTTTGTCAATACACAATGGGTTTTTATCTGATCTTTCAATATGCATCGGATGGAACCCTTCACTTTTCCACCCTTCAAAGCTAGCTTTAAACTCCTTAAAGGTGCTGAAATTGCTCCCTACAGGAAGATTTCCTCTACCTGTGCAAATGTGACTGTGTGACAATTTTGCTGATGTTGCTTTCTGCTCCTGTTCAGGGTCTTCACCACGAGGTGAGGAAGTACTGGTGTCAGCCGCACTGCTGCCCTTGCGCAGAACCACACCTTCTGACTCGGGGCTCACCGTGGATGTTACACCGCAGGCGTCGGGTGGCCCACAGTCAGTGGGTGGGCTCTGCTCAAAAGCAGCAGAGCACACTGGCACGGCAGTACGCCCAGTCTTCTTCACTTTGTGCTGCATCAACACACCACCGACAAGTGCAGGAGCATGCACAGGGCGCTGTTTTACTTGAGCGAAAACAGACACAGCTGGAGTCCTGGTGCTTGCCACTGCAGTTATTGGCAGTGAAGGGTACCCATGAGCAGTGTCTGTTTCTGCGACCTTAGGTGTCACTGACATCACACTGTGACATTGTATGGTAGCAGAATCAGACTTCCGTGCAACGTCAGACCACATTTTCTTGCATGGAGATGCAGGGGCTACAACAAGCATGGGGTCTGTGGAAAGAGCTGGGAAATTAGTTACATTATTCCAATACTGTGCCAGCCCTTCTGACTGATCACTGCGCTGGAATTGAAGCTTCTTGTGGTCCTTTTCTCTCTGGTGCTGCTGCTGTAATGCTCCATTGTGGCTTGCCTCAAGGTCCTTGCTTGCTTGCTTGATGGCTGCACGTAGCAGGCACCCCAGCAGCTGGAACACAGAGGAGCACATTTACAGTTGAACCCCTCCATAACAGAAGCCCTGAAGAATGAAGTTCTCGTAGCAATGAAGAAATATAATGTCCATGATGAACATTCATTGAGTACAAGGTGTTTGCTCTCTCTCAACAGCAAAGAGATATTAAAGGTACTCCCATAATGCATGTTAGTAACATGCGACTTTTTTTAGACTCCTAAACTAGGTGAGAAAGTAGATGTGAAATGAGCGGCGCCGCTCATTTCACAAGTCGGGCACTTGGGTATTTGCCTGATAGCAAAATCACTTCTTTTTCTTCAAGAGAATACTTTTTGCTAATGCTTCTGTTGGCAACTACGTCAGCACATGACATATAAAGTGCCATAAATTCGATAGATGTTCTGTAGACTGCCTAACTTTTTGCTGATGTGGTTCTATCCAAACGCATGCCAAGACCTCACACACTTTGCTTACGTGCATAGTTGTTTGGCATTTCAGCTTCAATGGAACGACACCAGGCGCTGTTGATCTACATGACTTTGTGTGAGCTGATGGCGACCTGATTGCATGCGACGTGGCATGCGAGGAGTTCTGCAATGTTGCCAACATCGGAAGTACATGCCACAGTGGAAAATAAGAAGTGTATGAACTGGTCTCCAGATTTGGTAGGCAAATCAATAAGGCTGTGCTCTTTCTGCAATAGATGGCACAATACGTAGTGAGCTGTGCACCAGGGTCTCGCCGGCTTGCCATATGTGTATATAAGGAAAGCGCAGCTGAACCATTGAAAGCAATAAAATGGGTTTGTTGACATTTTCTTCCCTTTGTCGAAGTTCTTGCGATCATCTGCTCATGCTGTGAAAGTAGAAACGAATGTAGGCTGTCGCCACAGGCACGGCTGTCATGCACAGATACCTATGCGCACACACCAGTCACATGAAAATGCCTGAAAAATCAACGTACACATTTGTATAATAGACACCTGCAACATGTATGCCCCACTAGAGGGATGGCTTTGTTTTGTAGCACAATGAAGCTATAGGGAGATTCAAAGCTGGTTTTTATTTTGCTTTTGTTTTTGAATTGAATATTGGAATTTAGTTTTTGTATTCTAGACGTGTACTCTGTCAACACTGAAAATGTTATTTACGTATGTCGACAACTGCAGGCCAGTGTGCAGGCTGCGGTACCCACACTTACTTTTGTGAGGGCCTGTGATCGATGCAGTGGTTTGTGTCGTCTTGAGTTGGAAAATAGAGCCTGTACATCCTCACAGGACTAGTGGTTTAGCTGGACTCACATTACTCACATACTCAAGCAATTTTTGTTACAAATATATTTTCTAACTTTGCCAATTGTGTCATTGCTTATGTGAGCATGCATGAGGCACCACAGCAGAGTACGTCACATCACATAGGCTGCACAGACTGCAGTTAAACAAAATTATGCTTAACTAAGACAGTAAAATACATGCAATACCTAGAGAGGCTATCCTGCCAACACGTCCAGTCACGATGTTTAATAAGTGGTGACAGTTCCACTCCATGCACCGAGTTGACTGATTGGGACCCCTTGGAATACGCATAGTTATCACGGAGGCTCGCGTTTAGACTACTCTTGCCGTGGGTGCAAATAGTCTAAAACAATTTTGTAGATGTTTTTCAAAGATTCTGGTACGGCCATAACGGTCGAAGGCCTAAAAATGAGCGTCCTCAGCACTTGCAGCAAAAGCAATAATAAAAATTATACAATGAACTCGGTTGTTATAAACTACAGTTATGGCTTTCACGCGGGCTCTACAGCAATTCATAATATATTATGCAGCAAATTAGCGCATGTACGCCTTAAAGCTATAGTTGTTCAGACTTCGATCGTTTACGCATTAACGTAAACACCGTTAATTACTTTGCACAACTTGTTTCTCTTGCAGTAGGAATCTACACAAGGTTCAAAGAGAAAACCCGCGGGGAGCCGTGTTTCTGTAGCTGCCACAAATATTTACAGAAAACTTTGTTGGCTGAATTCATTTTGCAACAACTTTTGCTGTGAAGTGCAGATGTGCATGCACAATATGTAAACCGGGATATGTGACGTACCATACTTTCAGATCATCCGCAGTACAAATTAAAAGGTGCCTAAGCCCTGCAGTTCCTGAGAATCTGTTTCTCTCAGAAAAATGTTTTTAAAGTTTCTCACCAATATATATAGCACTGGAAACCTTTGTCCTTTCTCTCCAACTTCAGTATTGCTGACATTCTTTCAACTTTCTCGCAAGTGTAGTATACTCATTTTCTTTTTCAATGATGTAACCCATACATGTTAGACGTGGTGCCTCTACTCCCGTACTGTTAAATGAATGACTTCTCCAGATTATTTGGAACACTTGCTCAAACTGTGCATGGCAGCCCACACTGCAGCCGTACTACTGAATATGGTTTTCTTAGGAGGGTATCAAACAGCGGTGTAGATGAAATTCAGAGAAGGCAAAAGACACATATGTTTTTTCTGTCATTTTCACCAACCTTTCCTTTGTAATGCTAATAAGCTTTTTCCACATCAAGCAATACACAACTTAATCCCGTCCAATGCGAATGTAGCCTACACACGAGCGAAATTACTGTGCCCCGGAAAACAGCCCTAACATGACATAGAAACATTTTGGCACTATTTTTCATTATAAGATTGCCTAACATAGCCACATGCTAAATAATGACTGGAGAAATCAGTCACAAAAGGAAATAATTATATTGAGGACGGTGGAGGTGCAATATTGCTTATCACCTTGGTCTCTGCTGCTTTTATATGCTTCCGTGCTGACGAAAAAACATATAACTCTGCTTTCTCGAGTTAGTAAGAACTTAATTGTAGTTCAAAAGTGGCAGAGGCTGGATGGGAATAGAGGTTCAGCGAGGTGGCCCCACCTTAAAAACTGCATTAGCGATTTGTCACTTAATCTCTACTCACTCCTACACGTACCTCTGCCTTGGAGAAGAGTTTCTATGTGTGACTTTTCGTACTGCATGGCTAGAGCTGCACAGGGACTATGCATGCATCCCTGGCATCAATGAAGCCATAGAGGAAACCAGGGTATGAATTTCACTTTATTGTAGGGCACACAATACTGTCACAAGCTATTATAAAGCTGACAAGTATGGAATGGAGGATACAAACATATTTAGTACATACTGTGAATGAAATACAAAAGTTATTTCTTATATGAGCTCATTTAGCAAGAAAGCAAAAAAGTGAAGGTGCATCTGTAATTTGGAAGCATAGTAAAGAAATAGTGGATAAAGACGCACCGAAGGTAGGCCAGGCCTATTAAAACCAACGTGAACTTGCTTACAGCGTAACACCAGAAAAAATACAGGACAGGGAAGGAGTAGAACAGAAACAAAAGACGGCGCTGACTCACAACTGTTGTTTATTGAAAAAAACGGGGTGAAAAGTATATATATATATATAGGTACTGGCAGCCTACACCACAACATGAGCAAAATATAAGGTGCACCGAGGTAGCGTTATCACACTCATGGCAATAAACAAGCTTGGCCTAAATAACTTAATTCTTTTTCATGCAGTGTGACGGATGGTTCACTAACGCACTTGCTACCCCTAATCTTTATATGATATGCCTTAGAGATTTCTCTAGTTAGCTGGTTAGGATGCTTGAAGATGATGGTGGTTCTCTCAAAAATGGGACGACAACCGCATGACCTGCAATGTTCCGGCAGATGAAGTCGCACGATCCCTTGAAGAGATAACTCATGCTCCCTTAAACGAACATTCACACATCATTTCTTTTGTCCCACGTACTCCCTGCCACACGATAATGGAGTTAAATACACAGCTTTTTTTCAATTTCGGTATTGATACCATTATCAGAACGCGTAAAAGAGCTAAGAGTCCTAGGCGGCTAAATACATGGATACGGTCAAAGTCACCGAAGTTCGCTAAGAAATGCTTTGTATTTAATAAACTAAAAGAGTGAAGCGGCAAAGCAATATGGTAATGAGTTGAGCACAAATTATGGTCTAGCTTTTAGTTTTTCAAGCTGTCAAGGAAAGGCAGGATTGGAAACAGCTATACATGTTTGCGGTCCACCAAGCCCAGTGCTATTCAGGTGCACTGGGAACTCATCAAGGAGAGGACAATGATAAATCTATTTGAGAAAAGATGCATCAACCTTTCAGTGAATGAAAATGCACCTTTTGCTGCTATCTGCAGGTGTGTAAAGCACAATGAAGTTAAAGCACATCCTTCACTTGTAGGTCAATGCATGCGACAACACAGCTTTCAGAAGTGAATCGTTATTATACATTAATTTCATATATTCAGTATGCTCAAGAAAAGCATTGTGAGAAGTAGAAATGAACTGAGCATGCAGCACTAAGACGGTGGGCATTCTTCTGTAGTATGCCACTTTAAGTTGTAAAACTGAAAACACCGGAGTGTATGTCTTTCTTCTTAGCGCTGTTGTAGCAAGCTGCTGCTGATAAAACAGTCATCTGCCAGTTGTATGTCCGGTATAGAAAATGTGTAGGCGGGGAGGGGGAGATGGGATCGTGAGCAAGAGTGGATGCAGACAAGTGGACTATTTTGACAAGATGCTTTGGTGGTTCTAAGATAGGAGTCTGCACATACAACTTGGCCTGCTCATACAATGCTGAAAAAAAAAATAACTTCATTGAAGAAAATGAGAAATTGAGTGTTTAGCTACATCACGCTCATAACAAAAATTTTCCACCATGCAGCGTTCAATTGACTAAGGAGAAATTGACTTCAATGGTCTATCTATCTAGCCGCCTAGGTCTGGTCACTCTCGTGATCACACCCTTAGCTTTGGGTAAACTAAATTGGTTTGGGAGGGTAAGAACGTTTGACGAATACGATTGCCCGTCAAGTCATGAATAATGCCGCGATCCCGTTGCGTATGTTGTCAAACCCTTTCTTCCAGATGAGTGGCACACATCTGGCAGGTATGCGGTAATGTGCACCAGGTGATTGACAGTTTGGCTACTCAAGAATGGCAAGAAATAATATTGGTAATTTTAACACGACAACATCCAGGAAAAAGTCAGTGTTGACCTTATAAATGTAATGAATATATATCAGGGCCCCAGCAGGAATGAAAAGCAAACATTCTGCGTGGCAATCAAGTATTTTACCACATAGCCACACCAAGTCTCAACACTGCTGTGGAAATAGACGCCACTCAGGCACAATGTCAATTGCATGCTAACTATAGAATTTTATAAAAATTACAGATGCACTCCTATGATGCAGCCGTCACGACCAGTTCACGTCAATTGTAGTTAAGCGCCATACACTTTGGTAGATTTATGTAGCAGTGTTCGGGGCTAACATCTTTGAGAACACAAGCACTTCATATCAGCTTACCACGTCTGATGTTGCTAGCACTCATGTTGCTGCTGGCATCATTGTGCAAATGTAAACAACTGGTTATATAAAACATATGTGACTGTTAACATACATCTGTGCGTACAACATTCGTCCGTTTTGCTAAATACACCACAGTCATCTTCTTTCAATGATACAGGTAAGTCTCAAACGGTATATTATTTTATTGTACAACATTTTTATACAGTAAAAGAAGTCACCACTTTTACAGTGCTTTTTTTTTTGCGGTTCTCACTTCACTTTATTACCTTAAAGACCCCCTAGAGGGGGTATTACATAAGGGGTGGGAAACATATAACAAATGTAATACATATGCAGGATGGGTACAAGTATGAACAGAGGTAACCAATACGGAAATAAAATAATACATGTGCAGGATCAGTATACATATTAACAGGCGTAACACATTGCCAAAAAAGGAAGACAAAGTGAGAACTAGTGGCACAAAAAGGAACAATGTAATGTATTCAAATTGAAAAGAAACGAGACATTTTGTGTAAATGTTGAGTGGCACATTATGGTGGCGAGATCAGTGGAAAGGCCATTTTAGTCGGAAGCTGCACGAAAAAAAAAAAAAAGGAGGCGGAAATTGTCGTGGTACGGGCGCGTGGCCGGCCGACATGAAAAGAATGAGTGGTGCGGTGAGATGTGTGGGCAGGAGGCAAGATATAGGGCGGGTGGCCGTGTTGACTGTGATAGAGCTTGTGGAACAAAATGAGGCTGGAAACTCGGCGACGAATGTTAAGGTTTGAAAGATTGGATTCTTGTTTAAGAGATGAAACACTCACGTTATATGAATACGAGAAATGAATGAATCTAGCTGCTCTATTCTGGAGTGATTCTAATGCGTCGGTTAAGTATGCTTGATGAGGGCTACAGATAGGTGACGCGTATTCAAGTTGGGTGCGAATTAAAGATTTATAAGCTTGTAGTTTTACAGGAGGGGGAGCATGACGTAAGTGCCGCTTTAAGAACCCAAGCGATCTGTTAGTTGATGATATGATATTGGTAATGTGGACGCGCCATGATAAATCGTTACTCAAAGTGACTCCCAAGTACTTGTATGTGACGACGTTTTCCAATGCAACTTTACCGATTTGATAAGAATAGGCGAGGGGGCTTCGCCGACGGTGGAACGAGAGGGACTTGCATTTATTAGGGTTTAGTGTCATTAGCCAACGATTGCACCAGTTAAGCACATGGTTAATGTCATCTTGTAATGCAACTTGGGCTGATGTGTTAGTAATAGTACGGCATATAATGCAATCGTTTGCAAACATACGAATATTGCTGGATACATGAAAAGGTAGATCGTTAATGTATATTAGGAATAATAGGGGTCCAAGAACAGATCCTTGCGGGACGCCTGATGTTACTGCCAGAGGGTAAGAGTTATGTCCGTTAACGGTTACGAATTGGTAACGATTAGTCAAAAATTCTCGAATCCAAGTTAAAATTTTAGGGTCTAAGTTTAATTTCGAAAGTTTTAACATCAGGCGGTAGTGGGGTACTTTGTCAAATGCCTTTGCAAAGTCAAGAAAGATAGCGTCAGTCTGTATGTTATTGTCCAGGTTAGTGTGCACGTTTCCTACATGGATGAAGTTTTTTTCCCCCCTGGAAGTTCACCAACTTTCCAATTACAGAAAAAAAAAAACAGGTGGCTATTGGTTTTTTTAAGCTTCAAAAGGGATTGATACTTGTTTGTTATTTGCTTACAAGGGTGCCATTTCACGCCGGAAAATGAGGCATGCGTGGGCAGGAAAACCTACGGGGTGCAAACCACACGTACTACATACCCAGGCGTCGAACACTTGTTTAAGTACAACTATCGATCGTGCAGCTGTATGGGGCTTGAGTAGTGCCACACAGGCTCTTTCAATTTGATTCGTGTTTCTCAACCATGAACGACTCACTTCTGCATTTGTGTACGATCGTGCAAATTACATAGTGTAACACTTGCATGGTTTAACCGACAGAGAAAATCGGCCTCGTTGACCGATAAAACAGCAGTAATGCCACTCATTAATTGATACATTCAATGAGCAAACGGCAAGACAGTCAAAGCAAGTTGCCGATCAAGCACAGTGAAAAACATACTTTCACGCTCAGTAAAATTTGTACAACGAACGCTGCCACCTTACACACACACAAAAATCAAACATTAGCAATCACAAAAATAACGCTGAAACACGCAGTGACAGTGCAAGAAAGGTCTCTAGTGCAAGGGACTATAGTGCAAGTTCAAGCGCTGCAAACACCATCCGCGTTCGTCAAGCACATGGACAACGATAAACACAATTGCAGTGCTCGTGTCCACCACAAAGACACCGCAATCAGCACACGTCCAGCACAACACAAATGTGTACAGCTCGCGATCGCGTACAGCTCATTCCACACACGCACGAATGCACACACACCGAGAGAACCTGAGGTTGCCCGACCTCCCTGTTACAGATGAATGGACGAATGTATGTGGCTGTACTTTTTATATCGGGCGGCGGCTAACGCTACCTAGCCGTAATACTTAGTGAACTAACCATTAGATTTAAATTTTTTTCCCTTTAAATAGTAAAGTTGTACGGGTACTTTGCAGTGAAGGGTTTAATTTTCACTCGTGTCTTGACTTTAGCCACCAATTAGATAACCTCTTTTTAGTTAAGTCTACCCACTTAAAGTCTATTGTTGAAAAAACAAAAACCCAAAATCCACAGCACGCCACACGCGAGAAAAATATGCCCAGACACGGGGGGTTTTCTGGGCACCTTCCTCCGTGAAAGAACCAGATTTAAAGCTGCAGAGAACCTCAGGTTGCCTGACCACCGTTGTCCAAAAGCCATAGCTTTATACGGATCCAAGCCAAGTTGGGTAAAAATAGTGTTTGCGCTATTTTCACCGGGTCGTAGCAGTCCTGCCTGGTAATAGAGTGTGCTAGAAGTGTTGAGTGGCGTGACCGCGCCTCGCCTCCTGATTCCTTCCGCAGCGGCGGCACTGCAGTCGAATAGTACTAAAAGAGACGCGCGCCGCGTGCAGGAACTGCTATGCGCTTCAGCTCCTCCGTCACGCTTTCTTGATGCAGATTTCTTCGTATCTGCCCATCATTCATGTCTAGCACATGATGACATGGCCCTTGAAGTATTACACGCCAATCTACTGAATTTGAGCTCGATAAAATCCCTTGTAAGATATCGAAAATAATTCAGAAAAGGTGGTCTTACCAGTCATTTCTTCTCTCGTAACTCTTTTCTTCGTTGGTTAGTTGCCTACAATATACAGAATAACTGAGCCTATTTATTGGAAGTTAGCTGTGCTCATAAAGCTATGAGATTAAAAAACAAATACTGTGTCACACGCACGCAGAACCAGAAAGCAATAAGCAACGAAGAGAGAGGAAGGGAATCTGAATAACCCCCTACACCACGAAATGTTTTCCTAATTCAACCTTTCAGAGTATACTAAAATATTTGCACGCATTCACAGCCACCACCAAGCCCCAAAGCTAGGCGTTCTGCTGCACACCCCAACCCCCCCCCCCCCCCCACCCACCCCCAAAAAAAAAAATTGCCATGGGTAACCGTGCGCCAATAGTTTGCAGTTGGCGAAGCTGAATATAGCAAGTCTCTACAAATGCGCACTGTAGATTTCACCTTTTCGACAGTATGAGGTCTCATAACTACTTCAAGTCTAACGTAGTCAGACGAGGAATGCACCGCCTAAAAACAGTAGATGTGCTAAGGAGCATTGCATGGATATATATATATATATATATATATATATATATATATATATATATATATATATATATATATATATATATATATATATATATATATATATGTGTGTGTGTGTGTGTGTGTGTGTGTGTGTGTGTGTGTGTGTGTGTGTGTGTGCATATACAAGGAAGGTAAATTTCTCAAAACAAGATGCACCACTGCCTGCCTACGCTTTTTACACTTTCTAATAGAACTACGCTTGTAATAAAAAACATCGTCATAAATTTGTTCGCTTGCAATAGCGTTACGCCGATAAAATATTTGGAAAGCAGCATAATTTAAGCTGTCGATACAAAATGAGAACTGGTTACAATGAATTTACGCAGATTAAAACAATTGGCACCTTTTAATATGTTTGTGTGTTGTTTTAATAAGTTTAATATGTAATAAGCCTTTCGGAAAGCAATAATTATTGTCTTGTGCAAAACTGGCATGATAAAACAGAGTCCTCACTGATTAATGTTGTCACAACATTACTTATACTCGGGTTTCTCGTGAAGCAATCGAGCGCATGTAGGGTTACATGAGGAACACTGTGCTCTGGATTTCGTAGAGACTGCCGACAAAACGACCATATGATTTAATTACGGTTTTGATACTTCTCTTCTTTTTGTTGTTCGCGAGTGGCCACTTATGATGTAACGCATCTCAAAGCACTGATTGAGTAAGAAGCTAGGCGGATACGTGCAAATTCCGATTGACATTTTGTGTGTGTGTGTGTGTGTGTGTGTGGGGGGGGGGTTGACAGGCTCTTGAAACAGTGAATGTGTCGACGCAATTTCGGCGTGCCCGCATATTTCACTCGTGCACCATGGCGCGTAGCAGGTGCGTCCACTGATAAAGGCTCAGATACGCATTAAACGCGCTAAAAACGAGCAATTACACGCTATCGCAGGCTCGGGCGCGCGCGCTCCCAATGCAGATGCTTTTGAGATCTTCAGAACCATGAGACTACAGCGCCGCCGCTACTGTCACCCACCGGAGAATCAGCCGAGATACGGCGCGGCCGCCTCGTTCACTCCACTGCCCCCTTCTAGTACACTGTATTGGTAAATGCCGTCCTGCACGTGTGTACTCTTCATTGTTGACGGCGCTTTCCGGTTATGGCCCTAACGAAAACGCAGAAATTGCAAAAGAAACAGCTTAGTGATGTTACCGTCGAAGAGTTCATGGCTGGAGGATTTTCCTCGGACTCCGATGACGATCATGCTGCCACTGCAAGCGAGCCCAACGGCGGGTCTCTCGGCTCTGGCACTGACCGGCTGCCAGGGGCGAAGCCGAAAAGACTTCTCAAACGTAAGAAACAGCGCCCCGACGAAAAGCTGCAAGCGAGTAGCGCGAGAAAAGTGGTGCCGAAGAAGCCGCGCAATGCAGCCAAAAAAGAAGCGAGTCCGAAGCGCGACTGCTTGGCAGACTCGGACAGTTATTCGGACGTCGACGGCGTAGAGAGTAGCGAAGAAGAGTCCGACGTTGACATCGAAAAGCAGAAGGAAATAGTGCGGAAGCTGAAGGAAACCGACCCCGATTTCTATCAGTACCTGGAGGAGCACGACAAAGACCTGCTCGACTTCTACACCGCCGAGGAAGTGGATGATGAAGAAGAGCCCGAGGAAGTGCCCCCCAAAAAGAAGCAGCTACTCAAACTCGAGGACATCGACCGCTTTTCGAGAGACTTGCAGACAAAGCCCGAGCTGCGCAAGATCGCGGATGTGGTCGACTGCTTCAAGGCGGCCGTTTTGCAAGCAGAGGGAGACGATGTAGGCACAGACTCCAAGAAGCATACGAGTCCTTTCAAAGTCGAAGGGCAAATCACATTCAATGCCGTCGTCAAGCTTTGTCTCAGTGACTTGGTGCCTGCATTGCACCAAGTGTTGCGTCTGCAGGAGCCCGCAGTTGTTCAAGATGACTCCAAGTCGTTTGACCCAACCAAAAGCCACAGCTGGAAGAAGGCCTCGGTAGTCGTGAAAACTTACCTCATGAACGTCGTCAAGCTCATCACCGCAGTGACTGAGCCACAGCTCGTATCGGTGCTCCTGAGGCACATCCTATTTTTAGTCCCGTACTATGTCGCCTTCCCGCAAGTCGCCAAGGCACTTCTAAAGCGTCTTGTGCAACTCTGGTGCGAGGCAGAAGAGAGCGTTCGTGTTGTTGCCTTTGTCTGCCTCATCCGCACAATCCGTGGCCTCCCACACAACTACCATGACAATGTGCTGAAGCACATGTACATGTCTTACGTACGCAACTGCAAGTTCACCTCGCCCACTACGTGGCCTCTCATTAACTTCATGAAGCGTTCACTCGTTGAGGCTTATTCTGGAGATGAGAGCCTGGCCTATCAGCATGCCTTCCTCTATGTCAGGCAGCTTGCCATTCACCTCAGGAATGCGATGACTGTTAGAAAAAAGGACACCTGCAAGGCCGTCTACAACTGGCAGTACATCCACTGCTGCCTCCTTTGGTGCCACCTTCTGGGGACAGTGTCACCAAGCAAATTGCTCCAGCCGCTCGTCTATCCGCTAGTCCAGACGATGGTAGGCACCATTCAGCTGATTCCAGCTGCGAAGTACGTTCCATTGAGGTTCCACTTGGTTCGTGGTCTCATGCAGCTGTCGTCCTGCACAGCCGTCTTCATTCCAGTCATGCCCCATCTCTTGGAAGCGTGCACAGTTGTCAATTTTGGCCAGAAGCACTCTGCAACGTCCATGCGACCTCTGGAGCTGAGCTGCATATTACGTGTGTCGCCGGCACAGATGAAAGAGAGTGGATTCCGTGACGCCGTTATCGAGACCTTTTACGAGCTCGTCCTGGAGTACCTCTCCACTGTCTCCCATTCAGTGGCCTTCCCAGAGCTGGTTCTGCCAGCCCTGGTCTACCTTAAGGAGTTCTCCAAGAAATGCAAGGTTGCAAACTACACAAAAAAGTTGAAGCAACTTGCAGAGAAGATGGAAGAGAACTGCAGGTTTATTGAGAATCGCCGCACCAGCTGCAACATTGCGCTTGGTGACGCTCAGGCGCTGGACAACTTGGAGCAGAGGTGGAAGCATGAAGGGACTCCTTGGAGCAGGTTCTACGAGCAGTGGAGCAAGCTGCGAAACCAGAGGCAGGAGACTGCTCTTCATGGCAAGGTGCTGACAAAGCTGCCGGAATCCGACTCGGATTCTGATGACGGAAGGCCAAGACGGAAAAAGAAGGGAGCAAAGAAAAGAGATCACCCTAAGCAGAAAGAGGAGAAGGATGCTGGTGCGAGCAAATACAGCGAAGTAGCTATCAAGGGGGACACAGACATCGTGCAGGACATGACTTTGTCGTCAACTTCTGAGGAGGACATGACCAGTGATGGTGAAGACTTCGATGAAACAGACTGAGCATCGATGCCATAGTAAATGTCTTTTTTTATTATACTCTTGAGAGTTACTTTTTTGGGGTTGGGAGACTATGTGGGCAACTGTGAACCCCGTACACTTGATAAACAAAACAAAAAAGGAATGATGCAGGATAATGGGCGTTTTAAACGTACATAACTGCAGTGCAGTCAGTGGGCGAACCAGCAGCCATTACTAGTATGTGAAATCAAAATACATGTTTACATTTACATTGCCAAAGCCGTAGTTCGAGGGACTATGTGAGGGACATGCAGACATATGCTGAAAAAGAAGCGGAGTGTTTTAATTGACCTAAAAACTGCCTTAAATGCACTGTGCTGGCTCGTATCTGAATTATGTACAAAGTAAACTTGTTTTCGACTTCCACGAAAGTGAATTATCTGCGACCTGTGGTGTCACCTAAGAAAAAATTACACATCTCCCCTTATGGGAAACCATGGTGGGATGCGAAAGCATCGTGGGGGAACGCACAGAGTTTCAGTTTCTCTTATGCGACTTTCACTTATGAGCGGTGGTTGTCAAGGCATTTGAATTACCGCTCGCCAACGCTAACGTTCGTCTTCCTGAGCCTTCTTCTGCTCCGTGGCATGAAAGTGGCGCTGCCGCTGGAATGAGCGCCAGCATTGACGTTGTTCATGGCATTTTGCACACTGTTGCACAGAGAGAGAATGATTGAACACAGCAAACACGCACTTTCATAGCATCGCAGCTTGAAGATCTTCTTGCCGTTTACGTTCAGCTTCGTGAGCATCCATAGCGCCGTTGCGGAAGAGAGTGCAATGGGTGCAAGTGTACGCCACTTTATATATGAGCACACAGCTCTGGCAAAGAGAGAGAAACAACGGAGCCAGTGCTCACTCCACCTCCTCGCGCGAGGAGAGTGGGAGAGTTGGCACATGCACAGTATGCGTACGGACGCTGCAGAATGGACACTGTCCCGAGCATAAGATGCATTTGCATCTAAAAAAAAAGGGGAGCTGAAACATGTAAAAACAGTCGCATTCTTAAAGGAGCTCGACAACACTTTTTCAATTAATGATAAAATGGCTCTCTGAAAAGAGCTTATTGCCTCATGAATTGGAGCCAATGACGTGCTCTATGTCGATGCGGCAGAATACCCATCCTCCTCATCCTATGCCCTCTCTGCTGTCGACTATAACGGCAAGGCGCTCACAACGGCATCCGTCACTGTCAACTCTTCGGAGGAGGCAAAGTAGGCTGCCATCGCCTTAGGTCTATCCATCCCCAATATCATTATGATTGTAAGTGACTCCAAAACTGCCATACGCAACTTCAGCGCAGGTCGCATCTCATCAACTGCCCTTTCAATTCTTAAGAAACATCCTCCCACGCAAGACGTTGCTCTCATATGGACGCCCGCGTATGCGGGGTTGAGTGGCAATGAGACGGCTCATACCTGTGCTCAAGGATTGACCGGCCGAGCGCAGGCCTCTGATGGCGCCTTAGACCACGCGGCCTTTTTCAGCTCGAGAGATCGTCTTTTGACCTTTCACGACATAGCAAATCACTACCGCCTACAGCGCACTATATACCCCCCTTACATCATGGAGTTTCGCGCTACCATGAAATACTATGGTGCCAGTTACAGACCCGTACGTTTCCTACCCCATCTTTTTGCCATCTTACACACCCTGCGATATACCCCTCCCCTTTGTGCATTTCCTGTCAACAAAGAGCTAACCTAGACCATATCATGTGGGAGTGTACTCGAAACCCACCACCCAATTCTCTACACATTAATAGTAAGGAGCAGTGGGAGGTTGCTATGTGCAGCTCGGGGCCCGAGGTCCAGGACCAGATCATGGGATTGGGCCAAGAGGGTAGTGGAGACCCACGCTAGGTAAGCTCCTCTGACACTCCACCACCGCACCTTTCCCTCTTGGGATGAATAAAGTTTTTCTCCTCCTCATGAATTGACTGACATAACTTTCAGAATCCAGTCAATCACGAACGGAGCTACAAAGCTTTGTTCTTTCTTTAAGAACTTTGTCTTTTCAAACCTATGCATGGAAAGGGGTGGCAAGGGGCCAAGAAAATGCGTCATAACATTGAGCTCTTTTTTTTTTTAATTGCACCACTTACTAACGGCATGATCATAGGCATCCTGCAGGGGCCACGGTAACTAAGCAGCTCGCACGGTGCATATATGAGGCGATTCTTGCAGCTCTATTTTCTTCTAGTTTCACACAGTCGGCATGGCTGTGTGTTAGGACACCTGCTTGCCACACACAAGTGCCAAGTTCAATTCCCATTGAAAGGTGATATTTTCATTTTTTATTTACATTTGATTTGTGGCAAACTTATTTAAAGTAGAAAATATAATAATTTAATTTAAAAAATAGATATTACACTCACACTCAATGATGCTGACAACATAACTTCTGCAAAATGAGCAGAGTAAATCTCATAGCAAAGGATGGTGGATACTTATGTACTTTAAGAAAGAAGTTTGGCGAATTCTCCAAATCCATGCGTGTGCGACGAGATGCCGCTTGATCCGAGATGCTTTCTGGCAGTCCACACGTAGTTGACAAATTAAAGGAAGCTACTACCCGAAAAAAAGTTTCTTTAATCTGTAGCTTAGGGCAATGAAACTTGTTATTTACATACATAGGTTTGTAAGCTGATTTCAAATATGCAATCAGTTTTACTGCAAGTTGCATATTTTTTGTTTTGTGTGATGACAATGTGTAAAAATTCTCTTTCTGCCACTTACTGTTTATGCTAGTGAGTCATTAATGGCATGCATTGCTCCACATTATCTATGAAACGCAAATAACCAACAGGGAAGTGTCTGTAAAACATTAATGAACAAGATAAATTGTAATGTGAAAAGTGTTAAAATTGCTCAACCCTTACTGATTATGTGCTTTAAGAGAACCGAGAGTCAAATATTGCAACTTTTTCCCTTAATATTACATTTTTTGTTTTTATTTCTCTTCACAAGTTGAGTTTCTCTACTCTCACAAAAAAAAAGAAAAGAAAACAAAGATTGTGGTTAACTTTGAAGTTGGTTAAAATTGCTTTTAAAAAGCACAAGTTGGTTACTAATAAGCGCTCATTGTCTAGAGTCCTTTAGAAATTGTCACCTGCCTGTTTGTCATTGCATTTCACATGAGTGGTTCACTAAAGACACATACTCAGAAATGACCTTAAAAAAACACATATTTTCCGCATAAATGAGCTTTCACTTATACCATTAAAATGCCTTTTTCTCAAAATCCATTTTTGGGCAACTTTCTGAGTTGGGAAATCATGGTTTTGGTACTTCGGATAGCTTGATCACGATGAAATTTTGCCCACATAAGCCTTAAGGCATGAAGGCTGCAAGTATTTCCTTTGAGACTTGATATTGCCTGTATAATTACAAAGAACCCAATGTAAGCAATTAGTGTTGGCTGAGGATTCTAAGAATTCTCACATTAAATTTTTTCTTGGCCATCAAAATGTTTTATACAAAGTTTCTTGATAGTTATTTGCATTTTACAGTTAATGCGAAGCAATATGAGGCATTAGTGGCTCAGAATACTAAAAGTTTAGTGGCACAAAAAGTTTGTCCAAAAAAATGAAACTTTACACATTGTCAAGACACAAAAAACTGTGCAACTTACCATAAAACTGATTACATATTTCAAACCAGCATAAAAGCATATATATATATATATATATATATATATATATATATATATATATATATATGAGATCTAACAGACAGTAATGCCAAGGAATGTACAGGGGAAGTTATTAGAACCAATGGAATGTAAATAAGAAGAAAGAAAAGTGGATGAAAAAATAACCAGCCCTGAGCAGAGCAGAGCATCGAACGCGTTATTCGAAGGTCGTAGGTTCGTTTCCTGCTCACGGCTGGTTATTTTTTCATCCACTTTTCTTCTTATTTACATTTCATTGGTTCTAATAACTTCCCCTGTACATTCCTTGGCATTACTGTCTGTTAGATCTCATTAATATTGTGTTAAAACACGAAAAAACGAGCCCTTAGGTATACACTTCTTTCCCTTATATATATATATATTGTTTTGTTTAGTAATGTATTTATTACGCTGAGGCGTACTGGTAGACTTCAAGGGGTCATGCACCGGAAGCCTATCTCGCTAGGGGAACGTCCTCTTCTCTAATCTGCCTGTTCCCCGCTACCCACGGGCTCATACCCAAATGACATATGCAGTAACATTTCCCTTCACGCAGACGAAGCCCACCGGGCGAGTTAAAGAGTCTCTCTGGGAATATAGCGCTTCAAACGTGCTATGTGGACTAGTTCAGTCTTCGCAGATCGTCGGCCATTTGAATGAAGACGTGCTACGCAGTAAGTTACATCACTTAAGCGGTCTAAAACGACATAAGGTCCCGCATAGTGTGCCATCAATTTTTCACACAACCCAGGTTTCCTAATTGGCGTCCACAGCAACACGTGGTCTCCGCGATTATACGTCAAGTGTCGACGTTGACGGTCAAAACCTGTCTTCGAGCGATCTTGCGAAGTGAGGGTGCGCAGGTAAGCAAGACGTCGAGCTTCTTCTGCACGGCAGACGATCTCGGATATACCGGAATCATGGTGGTCCATAAAAGGGAAGACGATATCTAGGGTATGATGAGGTGGCCGAGCATACAGAAGAAAAAACGGACTGTAGCTGGTAGTCTCATGCTGTGCGGTGTTAAATGCGTAAGTGATGAAAGGTAGCACGTCATCCCAGTTCTTGTGATCTGCTGCGACATACGTAGAAAGCATGTTCGTGAGAGTCCTGTTAGTTCGTTCCGTCAGGCCGTTTGTTTGGGGATGATATGGCGTAGAGTGCCGAAAGCTTGAAGCGCATAGACGAAGCATCTCTTCTACGACGTCTGCAGTGAATTGTCGCCCACGATCACCGATAACAATTTTAGGAGGTCCATGTCGTAGAACGACAAAACGCAGCATGAATAAACACACGTCAGCTGCAGTTGCCGATGGTATAGCAGTTGCCTCGCAGTACCGTGTTAAGTGATCGGTACATACGACTATCCAGCGATTGCCATTAGAAGACCTCGGAAAGGGACCTAGAAGGTCAATCCCAACTTGCTCGAATGGAGTTCTAGGGGGTGGAATAGGATGAAGTTGCCCTGGAGGAGCACTGGTAGGGCGCTTGCGGCGTTGGCACTTGTTGCAACTAGAGACGTACTGTTCCGTCGTCTGGCGCACTTTCGGCCAGTAAAATCTTTTTTGAAGCCGGCAAAGAGTTTTCGCTGTGCCTAGATGGCCGGACATTGGGTCATCATGCATAGCCTGCAAGACGGAAACGCGAAGGCTCTTTGGAACCACGAGAAGATATCGTAAGCCGGTCGTAGCATA